TTTATAAAAATTATATTTTATTAGCGCAAATAATGTTTTACAAACAATTTTCTAATTTTTTTCCAAAATCAACTAACTGACTTTACCTAAGTGCTGCCTACTTTTGCGCGCGCATGCTAATGCCACCAATAATTGAACTACCTGCCCAAAACTGGTCGTCAAAGCATAAACAATACAACAATAGAATAAAAATTAAATACAAAAGAAAACAGAAAAACTAACAATAACAAAGTGTTAAATTTTAAACTAACTAAAAACCACTAGTTTTAAGCCCCACTGTTAGTGTTTTACTTACATTACAGTAAAGATATAATAGAAATTATAGTAAAAAGCTGGCTTTTGGCGCGTTGCATACAAAACTTGTTATTATAAATATACAAACAACAACATAAATAGATAAATAAAAACAAAAACAGTGTGACAGTTAAATAATAAACATACATATGACAGTGTGTTGCATGCAAATGTTAAGTTTTAATATTTTAATTTAAGTTTTATAAAAACTGCACAGAAAACAAACAAAAACAAACGCGAAAAGTGAAAAGTAAAAAGAAGAAAAACTACAATAAATTTTGTAAAATGTAATGATTAAATTAAATTACTAAGTAAAGTATAAAAATCCAAATACGTAATTGCATGCAAGTCAATCACAACATTTTTAATTAAAAAACAACAAACACACACACACATACACACATCCATAGAAATTTCATTTATACATATTAATGAAATTACAACAACAAAAACAATTATTTTCTATTTTTTTCATAAAATATAATATTTTGCGCAATTGTAATAGATTTTTAATATACATATATATAGTTTAAGCCATAATTTCAATTAAATTTATTTTAATTCATATTGTTTTCGTTTATTAATTGGTTTTATGGGACAAACACATTGTGTAAGCTGCTGTATGTTGATATTTTGGGGTAAACATGCAATAAGCGGTTTTGCAATGAAAGCTCGAAATTTCAAACACCTTTTTTGTTTTCTTTCGCATTATTTTATTATTACACTGCGGAGCTTTCACGTTAAAAATAGTGGTTTGGTAATGAAAGCTCGATTCTTTAAAGCATTTCATATTTTGCGACGAAAATATTTTCAAATATCAAAAAAATGTCGTGGATGAGGTTTCACATTATTATTCAATGGAGGTTTCACATTATTATTCAATGGAGGTTTCACGTAAAAAGTAGTGAAAGCTTTTCAAAATAGTGGGAGCTTCGATTCCTTTAAATTAAAAAACATTTTTTATAATATAAAGCTTTTGAAGGCTCATTTTTTAAATTTAATATTATACTATTGAAGTTAACATGAAAAGCTTTTCATTAAAAATCTACTGCAGCTGGAGTGGAAATTGCCATTTATTGATATTTTAGGCTAAAAAGCAGCAAAATGTATTGAAATAAGGCTCAAAGCTTCAAACTCGTCTTCTGTTTTTTGCAGCATTTCGCATTTTGCAAGAAAATATTTTCAAATATCAAAAAATGGTTCTGAATGAGCTTTTACATTATTAGACTTTGAAGCTTTCACGTCATAAAATGTGAAAGCTTTTGAAAATAGCATCGATTTTTTTGCATTTAAAAAAAATTATTATTTTAATAGAAGACTTATGAAAGCTCCATTTTTTAAATTTATTACTGTGCCATTTTAATTAATATAAAAACCTTTTCATAAAATCGACTACAACTGTGGTGGAAATTGCTATATATATTGATATTTTGG